CTGTGTGGTTCTCTCCGGGTTCTCCGGGTTCCTCCCACAGTCCAGAGACCTGCTCTGGGGATCAGGTTGATGGGGACTCTAAATGGCCTGTAGGTGTGTGAGTGTGTCTCTGTGGAGCCCTGTGATTGGCTGGTGACCCGTCCCGGATGAACCCGTCTATCACCTGAATTTGGCTGTGATGGACTCCAGCCCCCCCACACCCCCGTGTGCAGGATGAGCAGTACGAAGATGGATGGATGGATGGATGGATGGATGGATGGATGGATGGACGGGCACTTCGGCCGCACATTGAGACCAATGCGTCCAGCTCGCAGACCGGCATTGGTCTCAATGCGCCAGTAATGATGGTAAATGATGGTAAATGATGGTGAATGATGGTGAATGATGGTGAATGATGGTAAATGATGGTGAATGATGGTGAATGATGGTAAATGATGGTGAATGATGGTGAATGATGGTGAATGATGGTGAATGATGGTGAATGATGGTAAATGATGGTGAATGATGGTGAATGATGGTGAATGATGGTGAATGATGGTAAATGATGGTAAATGATGGTAAATGATGGTGAATGATGGTGAATGATGGTGAATGATGGTGAATGATGGTGAATGATGGTAAATGATGGTAAATGATGGTGAATGATGGTGAATGATGGTGAATGATGGTGAATGATGGTGAATGATGGTTGTAGCTGGTTGTCATCTACGGTCCACTACGGTTACACAGAGGTGTCGTTTGTGTTTTCACAACGTTTTATCTCATAATTTCGACTTTCTATCCCCTTTCTTCAGTGCGGAAATGGGCTTCTATAGTTGTGTGGATGCATCACTCCAGCCAGTCCACAGACGGGGTTTGAATCTAATAATCAGAAGTCTTCAACAGGGGGTCCGCTGTGGTACTGCAGGGGGTCGCGGTGGTACTGCAGGGGGTCGCGGTGGTACTGCAGGGGGTCGCGGTGGTGCTGCAGGGGGTCGCGGTGGTGCTGCAGGGGGTCGCGGTGGTGCTGCAGGGGGTCGCGGTGGTGCTGCAGGGGGTCGCGGTGGTGCTGCAGGGGGTCGCGGTGGTGCTGCAGGGGGTCACGACATTTTTGGTTGATGAGACAATTTTATTTTTTCTTCTTTTCAACCAATTTTTTTCCCCACAAATTTAAATGTCTTCAGAATCAGACTTGTATTTATTGTCTTTAAATAGACATGAATTAATCCAACATGTTGTAGAAGCGGATAAATTGATGGAGGAGATGTTGTCTTCAGTCCCACAGCAGCTCTCACGCTGATACGACGTCACAGCCACTCAATGTATGAACGTCGGTGGTGAGTTCAGGTCCCTGTAATGCTAGTAGGACAGATGAATGTCTGTGGTGAGTTCAGGCCCCTGTATGATAGTAGGACAGTGTAGTAATGTATGTGGTGTGTTCAGGTGCCTGTAGTAAATACTGACTTTGATAGTTGTTGGTTGCGTTTGAGGACATCTGTTCTGCCTCACGTTATTTCTTTCATGGGGAGCTGCAGTCTTTTCTGTTGGTGTCACATTACAGCAGCTGTGTGGTGCAGGCGACACAAACACAAACACAGACACACACACACACACACACACTCTCCCACTCGGTGACAGACGGTAGGTCCACAGGTGTCAGCTCGAGCGACTTATTGATCAGCCGATCGATCGGCTCTCTGGAAGCTCCGATGACTCGTTATCGCAGCCTGTTCCGTCGTCTGCTGCGCGGCGACAGTAAGGCACAGGAGGCAGACGAGGGGGAGGGCAGCACTCTCAGGCTGTGCAGTGAGCAGGGTGAGTGCACGCCAACACTGCCATGTATTTCATGTACTAGTACTACAAGTACATCACTGAGCTGCACTTCCTATAGAAGAAGTCAGAACTTTGTTTCCCTATGCTGTTTAAATCTGTGTTTTCATGCAAATAATATTAAAAAACATGCAAATACACAATAGAATGCGTGTGTACGGACTATTTAAAGTCATATAAAGACTATTAAACTGTCTCCACATGGTATATAGACCAGATATGATGGTCTGACAGGCAGCTGTTTACTTACTATTTGCCGGCCCTCCGACTCGCGTCACAACAGAGAGGAACGAACTCATTTCAATCTCAGTAATTGTAACTGCGTTCATTTATTTAAAAAAATACTTTGTTACATGCTCGTTACCGCTGAAAGTAGTGGAGTTACTCCCAACACTGCTTATAAAGGTATATACAGACTATATAAAGTTATTAAGTTACTATATAAAGTTATTAAGTTACTATATAAAGAGAAGTACAAGCTGATGTATGTGTGTTACTGCTTCTACAAAGAGCCGAGAGGAAAAAACAGCTGAGAGACAGAAATACACAACTGTAAATATAACTGCAGGTCAGACGCACACACACACACACACACACACACACACACACACACACACACACACACACACACACACACACACACACACACACACACACACACACACACACACACACACACACACACACACCCTGGTGGTCTTTGTTGTCCCTTCACAGTGGTTCTGAAGCTGAGATAAGAAGTACTCCACACATGTAGAAGTACCTCTCCCTCAGTGCAGGGACACATGTTTGTGTCCCTGATTACATTTGAGGTATTTAAGAGGGGACAGGTGTCCAATGACGGTGGGAGACATTACAGGTCCTTTAGCTGACGCGACTCACATCATTATTATTCACCTTTGGCCCGATTTCATGGGGCAGCCGGGACTCGAAACACCAACCTTGTGGTCCCCGGGTCCCCGTCTCCCAGAGTACTGTGTGTGGTACTGTGTGTGTGCCCAGTGGTACTATAAGTATCTGCTGTAGTAGTAGTTACCGCAGCCTACTATTAGTACCTGCTGGTACTATAGGTACCCGCAGTAGTAGTAGTAGTACATGTGGTACTACAAGTTCCTACAGTAGTAGTAGTAGTAGTAGTACCTGTGGTACCTGATGTAGATGATTTACGTCACCTCACCGGCCCTCATGTCCTCGGTGTCCTCGGTCTTCTGACTCGTCTTCAGACACGTGGTACTCCGCTCTGTGAAGAGCGCCCTATAAATACACTTTACTTACTTTTCTATGAAGTACTTGTACTAATGGTGGTGGTACTGTGGTGCTCCTGTAGTAAAGGTACCTCCAGTACTATAAATACCTGCAGTAGAAGTAGTACTTGTAGTAATGGTAGTAGCTGTACGACTGTAACGCCCTGTAGTACTGTGAGTACCTGTAGTATTGACGCCGTCCACCGGGGGGCGCTGTCCCTCCACCGTCAGTCCTCCAGGTTCACAGCAGCTGATTGGTGCATTTTAGTTAGTTGACAATAAAAAACACAATAATCATTTTAAAGGTTCTTGTGATTCTCTTTTGTTCTTCATCTCTTGTGATGATGATGATGATATAAATATTCACATTTAATAATCCTTTGAAGTGATATTTATTTGTTGAAAGATAATGAACACATTTATAATGTTATTGTTATAATAATAAAGAGAAGCTCACAGATGTTTATATTTAACGTCATATTGAGCTTTATGTTTTATCAGATGAGTCATCAGCAGGAGATGTACAAGTACACATACACAAGTACATTCACAGTGTATTTATTTATACATCATATGTGTATATATATATACATACATATATATATATATATAAATATACACATATACGTTGTTCACGTAACCGCAGAGAGGAACAATGCAGCCAGTGTCTTTGTTTGGTTTCATCATCCAGCTGCCGCCCACACAGCTGTGTGTGTGTGTGCGTTTGTGTGTGTGTGTGTGTGTATGTTGATAATCTTAAAGTAATATGAGAGCAACGATAATATTAATGACATTAATAATAATAATAGCAGCATTAACGTCGGTCGCTGAGTTTCGGGTTCCACAGTTTTTCATCAGGAGAATCAAATGAGAGGAGAATCTTTTGAAGCAGCAGATGATCAGAGTGAAGATGCTCCTCCTCCTCCGAGCAGGTACCAGGACCCAAATACTTGGTAATTACAGACCATGACCTGGTTGTTTCTTCGGGGAGTCGAGGCCTACATTCGGCGCCGCGGTGCGTTCAAAGACACGTACAGCCATCCTCGGGCCCAGAGACCAACCGATTGGATCCGGAGGATTAGTTCTTAAGAGCATCAAAGTCTCCACGCTGAGACACAACGTGAGCCGCTCTTCATCGGCAAGCGTCGTCTTCATTCAGCGCCTCGAAGAACCAGAACGCCGTATTTATAGCATCTTTGTTTCCGATGTACTGAACGGATCATCAGAGCTCAGTAGGGAAACAGTCCGTCTGTAAGTGCCCTCCTCCTGCATCCTAGTATTTATACATATGTATAAGTATCTTGTGTATAGGATAATACTATGTTATACGTGACTGGGTGCAAATGAACCAAAGGGCATATTTTACATTTATTAGACATTTATTTGGCTTACGACCAGCCGCCATCTTGGTTTCTGGCGGCCGTCTCTTCTGTAGTCGACCTCGTGGTGATCAGGATCAGATCTCTAGTGGTCACGCATGCGTACACACTCAGCAAGTCTCCACTTTTTAAACTAAAATTAAAAAACAAATCCAACATGTAAGTAGAACGGATGTAAATATAGACATTTAAAGACTATACAATCCCAAAAGTATTATATATATATATATATATATATATATATATATCCTCTCTCTCCCCTCCCTCTCTCTCTCCCTCTCTAATCCTCTCATCGCATTGAGCATCTCTCATCCTGAGAGGAGGAGGAGAGGAGGAGGAGGAGGTGGAGGAGGAGGAGGAGGAAGCAGAATAGAGTCCATGTGTAATCTGCAGTTTGTCGTCTCATCGCTCTCGATTTTCTCTCTGGATTATTTGAAGCTGAAGACGGAGGAGAACCTCTCCGCTCTGCATCCATCGCTTCCATCGGCGGCTCTGAGGATGAGCGGAGGGCGAATTACTCAGCATGAAGATTTAATCGGATCGGAATTAAAAGTGAGGTTTTCACTTTTCCATCATAAGTGTGGAGGCTTTTAGAATTTCCGGGCTGATTTGAATGTCAGTAACGTGTTAACGTATTTAATCATTCCTCACGTGGAGGACGTCTGTGAGACATCCTGAAGTTCTTGTAACTGACGATTGGACGCCGGGAACAGAAGCTACAGAATGAGAAAAAGTTATTTCCCGATATGTAAAATTCGACATCGCTGATTTGGGGGTCTGTTCTTCTGAAGAAATGAGGTCTGCGCCCGCAGGATGGACCGCGTCTCCTTCTCGCGTTTGGGGTTCTGCCAGCGTCTCTGTGAGTCCAAACATGTGACCGAGCCGCCCTTTGGCGTCTTCAATCGGAGCGACTGAGTCCGGTCATGTCGCCTCTTTGGGGTTAAAGAAGCAACTCGACGAACGAGCAGCGGCTGACATCTCGCCCTCCGTGGCTCCACCCTCTTCTCGGGGAGATGGCGGCGGCCATCGCCAGCTCCCTGATCCGACAGCGGCGTCAGGCCCGCGAGTCCAACGGCGACAAGGTCGCCACTAGCAAGAGGCGCACGAGTCCCAGCAAGGAGCCCAAGTCTCCGTGCGACAAAAACATCTTCAGCGTCTTCAGCAAGATTCGCTTCTGCAGCGGGAAGAAGAGGCCCGTACGGCGGAAACCAGGTGGGTGGGGTCCCACCGGGGGGTGAAGGCCAAGTTTATTTTGAAAAGACTCCATTCGCGTAGTCAGAATAGACACGTGTTGTATCGTACTCTAAAGCAGGACTGTTGCCGGGGAGAACTTCTAATTGGGGATGAAATTACATTTCAAAATAAAGGTTTGCTCTTTGCACGTAAGACCAGATCCTTTCGCTTGATCTGCAATAACAAGAAACCTCCGGCAGAATAATCAGTTCCTCCCAAAGGAACCTCCTCAGCCACCAGCTGGGCGCGAGCATCTTATGAGACGGATGTTTCATTTACACATTCATGAGCTGCGTCTCTCTCGTTAGTCGACGCCCGCTGCCGACTGCTTCCTGTTTTTCTTGGCGCTGCAACAAACGGCGTCTTAAAGGAGAGATTATTCCGCTTGATCGTCTCCTGCACACGTCACAGTCCAACACAGGGAAACTCCTCGACCTCCACGTCAGCGCTTCTGATGTTTGGTCTGCTCACTGATTTAGTTCACTTCTTCTACTGCTTTGTTGGACATGGTGAACAACGGTGGTCTTGATTTGTCTTTGGAGTGAAGCCAGAGCTTCACAGAGCTGCGTTCTCCCTCCTGACTTTTCTGGTATAAAATGACTCTTTTTCAAAACAGCATGACGTCCATTTAGTAGATCAGTGGTTCCCAAACTTGAGGCCACTGATGGCGCAGTGGGCCGAGGGGTGAGAGAGAGATGGACGGGTTTTTTGTCAACTTCTGACTACAAAACCAACAAATCCTTTAACTGTGAAACAGTTTCAGGACTCTTATTGTGAAACAGTTTCAGGACTTTTACTGTGAAACAGTTACAGTACCTTTACTGTGAAGCAGCTTCAGGACCTTTACTGTGAAACAGCTTCAGGACCTTTTACTGTGAAGCAGCTTCAGGACTTTTACTGTGAAACAGTGTCGGGACTTTTACTGTGAAGCAGCTTTAGGACTCTTATTGTGAAACAACTTCAGGACTCTTACTGTGAATCAGTTCCAGGACTTTTACTCTGAAACAGCTTGAGGAATTTTAGTGTGACTCCATCAGAAGAGGAACAATGAAGCTTCCAACTACAGAGGAAGATCTACTTGTGGTACTTGATGGTTTATCTGTCTGTCCACCTTTCTTTCTGTTCTCTCTCTCTCCGAATTTGCTCTATTTCTGCCGGTCTTCTGTCCCACATCTTCATCTGCAGGATCACTTCATCTTGTCAGCCTCCATTGTATTCACTACTCCACACCTCTGAGGAGCAAGTGTACGGACAGTGAATGAGAGGAGATGAAGGTTGATGGCAGTGAATGAGAGGAGATGAAGGTTGATGGCAGTGAATGAGAGGAGATGATGGTTGATAGCAGTGAATGAGAGGAGATGAAGGTTGATAGCAGTGAATGAGAGGAGTTGAAGGTTGATGGCAGTGAATGAGAGGAGATGATGGTTGATAGCAGTGAATGAGAGGAGTTGAAGGTTGATGGCAGTGAATGAGAGGAGATGATGGTTGATAGCAGTGAATGAGAGGAGATGAAGGTTGATGGCAGTGAATGAGAGGAGATGATGGTTGATAGCAGTGAATGAGAGGAGATGAAGGTTGATAGCAGTGAATGAGAGGAGATGATTGTTGATAGCAGCGAATGAGAGGAGATGAAGGTTGATAGCAGTGAATGAGAGTTCACGAAGGTTGATGGCAGTGAATGAGAGGAGATGATGGTTGATAGCATTGAATGAGAGGAGATGAAGGTTGATAGCAGTGAATGAGAGGAGATGAAGGTTGATAGCAGTGAATGAGAGGAGATGATTGTTGATAGCAGTGAATGAGAGGAGATGATGGTTGATAGCAGTGAATGAGAGGAGTTGAAGGTTGATGGCAGTGAATGAGAGGAGATGATGGTTGATAGCAGTGAATGAGAGGAGATGATGGTTGATAGCAGTGAATGAGAGGAGATGATGGTTGATAGCAGTGAATGAGAGGAGATGATGGTTGATAGCAGTGAATGAGAGGAGATGAAGGTTGATGGCAGTGAATGAGAGGAGATGATGGTTGATAGCAGTGAATGAGAGGAGATGATTGTTGATAGCAGCGAATGAGAGGAGATGAACGTTGATAGCAGTGAATGAGAGGAGATGATGGTTGATGGCAGTGAATGAGAGGAGATGATGGTTGATAGCAGTGAATGAGAGGAGATGAAGGTTGATGGCAGTGAATGAGAGGAGATGATGGTTGATAGCAGTGAATGAGAGGAGATGATGGTTGATAGCAGTGAATGAGAGGAGATGATGGTTGATAGCAGTGAATGAGAGGAGATGATGGTTGATAGCAGTGAAATGAGAGGAGATGATGGTTGATAGCAGTGAATGAGAGGAGATGATGGTTGATAGCAGTGAATGAGAGGAGATGAAGGTTGATAGCAGTGAATGAGAGGAGATGATGGTTGATGGCAGTGAATGAGAGGAGATGATTGTTGGTGGCAGTGAATGAGAGGAGATGATGGTTGATAGCAGTGAATGAGAGGAGATGATGGTTGATAGCAGTGAATGAGAGGAGATGAAGGTTAAGGATGATGATGATGTTGTTGTTGTATTTGTTGTCAGAGCCCCAGCTGAAGGGCATCGTGACGCGTCTCTTCAGCGAGCAGGGCTTCTTCCTGCAGATGCAGCCCGACGGAACCATCAACGGAAACAAGGACGAGAACAGCGACAACAGTGAGTGTTACACCTCTTCACCTCCCCTCCGTCAGCACCATCACACACGGGATTCCTCTTGTCTAGAATAGTCCTACCTACAGGCGAGCTCACCTAGAGGCTCACACAGCGATAGAGACGTTCTGGTTCACTCAGCCTGGGTAGACGCTGTCCTTCTGGAGGGCTGAAGGTCAGGAGAAGAAGGAGACTTCCATCATCTCCTTTTTCTGGAGTTTGGTTGGCTCCATCGCCTCCACCTTTGAACACGGTATTCTATTCGTTCAAAACTTCACATGGTTCTGTTTGCCAGAGCTAATCTTCATACTTCTCTCTCTAGAAGCGGAGGAGGGGGAGGAGAAAGGGGCAGAGGAGGACCAGATGTCTGTATCTCCCTCTCACATCATGTCTGTGTCAGAGTTAAATAAAGGAGGTTTAACAGCAGCCACGGCCCCAGGCCTCTTCCTCCTCCTCCTCCTCCTCTTCAACCTCACCCACACTGCAGCTCTCTCCCCCATGAGGATTAGAGCTCCCCTCACCCCTTCATCCCTCTCTCTCCACTATTCTCTCTTCACTTACGCACATGTAGAAAATGTTCCTAGTCATTGTTACTCATTTGTTCTGATCAGTGTGAGGAAAACAAGTTCGTCCTGCTGTGAATGAAATGCTGTATTCATGTTTATTCAATCTACTCCAGCTCTCTTCAACCTGATCCCAGTGGGTTTGAGGGTGGTGGCCATGCAGGGCGTGAAGGCTGGACTCTATGTGGCCATGAACGCAGAAGGATTCCTCTACACATCAGTAAGAAAACACGCCTCTCTTCTCAAGATTCAGCCGCTGAAGAACACGTTTGCCTTCTGGCGCAAAATATTAAATGACATACACGCTTGAAGTTAAGACGTCACCTAGTGATAAATTTGCAAATAAATAGAAGAAAGTCTGGTTGTATCATAATGCTTGCATATGAGACATACAGATATATGTCTGATATGCAAGCATTATGATGTCTCAGCAATTAGATATATATATCAATGGTCTTCTCATTGCCTCGCTTTAAACTGAAAGGCTTTTATTCTGAAGAAGACCAGGTACTTTCAGCTCGGAGCAAGTAGAGTAAATTAGACCTAGATAGTCTGTGCAGTTTATAAACCAATGCTAATATGTAATAAAGATAACAATAAAGAGTAAAGCCCTTTCAGGCTGCAGTATAAAATATAGTAGTCGTTATTTTGCTGCGTTCTCCATCCATAATTCATCTCTGCTTCTTCCATAAAACTTTAAAATGCAATTCTTCAGTCTCTATGCGGCATAAGTAACGAGGACGAGGAAGAGAGCGATGATGAAGATCGTAACTGTAGATACAGTATGTGTGTGAACAGGACGAGGCGTCTCTTTCCGACAGGAAGCTTCTTGTAGATGATTTAAAGTCAACATCAATACGTCTCTGTTGTCAGGAGGTCAAGCGTCTCAACGTCATCATGGCATCATGTCACGGTGTAATGATGTCATGAGGTCATGGTGTCATGATGTCATGGTCTCATGGTGTAATGATGTCATGGTCTCATGGTGTAATGAGGTCATGGTCTCATGGTGTCATGAGGTCATGAGGTCATGGTCTCATGGTGTCATGAGGTCATGGTGTCATGGTCTCATGGTGTAATGAGGTCATGGTCTCATGGTGTCATGAGGTCATGGTGTCATGGTCTCATGGTGTAATGAGGTCATGGTCTCATGGTGTCATGAGGTCATGAGGTCATGGTCTCATGGTGTCATGAGGTCATGGTGTCATGGTCTCATGGTGTCATGGTCTCATGGTGTCATGGTGCCATGATGTCATGAGGTCATGGTGTCATGGTCTCATGGTGGAGCAGCCGGGACTCAAACCTTTAACCTTGTGGTTTCCGGCGCTCCCTCTCTACCCCGCGCCATTAGTCCCAAACACATTTAAAGAGATGAAGATGCAGGTCATCTCGTTCTCTCCTCCTCTTCATCGGCCGTTATATAAAACGTTTCAGTGGGATGTTTCTTCTCCTCTCGTGGTCGGTTCAAAGTAGAGGCGTGTTGTGTGAATTATCACATGACCTCCTGCTGGGAGGAGTCCAACTAGAAGCTGCTTCCCTCAGAGAACTTCCTCCTTCGGCCACAATCACACACAGACACACACACACAATCACACACAGACACACACACACAGAGACACACACCTGTTTTATGGACAGAGCTGCGAGGTGCTAAATTCACTTGGCCCTTAAAGTTGAATGTCATTCAAAAACAAGAAGTCTGCCTTAAGGAGTCCACACTTAGATGTATATATATATATATATATATATATATATATATACTTAAAAAATGAATATTCATACTGAGATGTTTAAATGGCAAATGAAACCATTGATTAAAATTCCCATTAAGGTGCATGTTCCAAAGAAGGTATTCTGTGTGTGTGTGTGTGTGTGTGTGTGTGTGTGTATGTACACACACACACACACACACGCACACACACACATGGCCTCTAAGTAAACTTAAACAGTGAGTAATATATACTATCATATATATAGTATTGTATAATATTCATGACCTCTGTGTGTGTGTGTGTGTGTGTGTGTGTGTGTGTGTGTGTGTGTGTGTGACAGGATGTGTTCACAGCAGAGTGTAAGTTCAAGGAGTCGGTGTTTGAGAACTACTACGTCATCTACTCCTCCACGCAGTACCGGCAGCACGAGTCGGGCCGGGCCTGGTTCCTGGGCCTCAACAAGGACGGGGCCCTCATGAAGGGGAACCGGGTGAAGAAGACCAAGCCCTGCTCGCACTTTGTCCCCAGACCCATCGAAGGTGAGACACACACACACACACACCTGAGGATGCTGCTGTCCTGGTCCCTTGTTAGCCTAGCTTAGCATTAAAGAGCGTCACAAGAGAACCACAACGCTACCTGCTGCTGTATCTGAACTCACCGTGAGTTCTTCTGCTCTGATATCACAGATAGAGCTTTATTAATATATATATTTTTGTATAAATGCTATATTTGTATATATATGTCCGTATGAGTGACTTGTATGTAATAAAATCTCCCCCCCAGTCTGCATGTACAAGGAGCCGTCGCTGCACGAGCTGGAGGAGAAGCTGCTGAAGTCGTCGCGGAGCCCGACGATCAACAGCGAGGGACGGAGGGCGATCAAGGAGCAGGAGGAGCAGCAGGAGGAGTGCACGGATCGGGAGGGCTCATAGCCTGCAGCGCCCCCTGCAGAAGGGGGAGGCAAACTCCTGTCTGAACACTCCCTCTGCTCAGTAACCACGGCAACGACGACCAAAACCAAGAAGAAAAAAAGCTAAAAACAAAAATCATAAAAAATGGGGAAATCTTCATCTTCTGCTCATATTGAAATATGTAAGTGTTCCAGGGGGAGGGGTTTGGGGTTGGAAAGGGGAGGGGCTTGTCTGACGGTAAGGTGAAGAAAAGTAAAAGAATCAGGTCGTTGATGATGATGATGATTTACATTTTATGCAAAACGCCCTGTTGAAACGGCGCCCGGAGGCGAGCACACCGACTCTTCATTGTTGTGATCGCCATCATCATCACCAACGCCGTCGCCACGGCGACCGGTTTTCCATAGCTGAGTGAGCGCTGAGGACTCTGAACCTTTACGCCATGTAGAGACTCCCCTTCCTTTGGTTTCCCAATGAATGCAAACACTTTGGCACTTTCAACACGCGCTTCTTCTTCCTCGTCTTCGTTCCTCTGTGGTTTCTGTTTGCCGTTCATCAGCTGCACATCTCGGTTTGAATTATTTTGGGGGTAAAGGTTTTAAATGCTCCGAGGGGGGCGGATGGGGAGGTTTGACTTCCACCGTCCATCCCTCAACTCTAAAGTCATCCTTCAGGTTTCACCTTGAGCTCCATCCTTCCAGGAGTCACTTCCTGTTGCAAAGAGATGAGCCATCGAATAAACAAAGCATAGATATTGATATATTATATACATTACTGTGTAACATTAATACTACTGAGACAAACGGGCAGTGTAAGCAGCTGCAGTATAACAAGGGGAAAGAGAACAATCACGAGGGGCAAATAACCTCTGAGTGATTTAAACCTTCAGAGGCTGAAAGGTGTTTTCTGAGGGTCTTCTGTCTTTAGAGTCTCTGGTGTCTCCAGGACTCTGACTGATGGTGTTCAGATTGTCTTGACCTAAAATCCGATGATGACGATAAAAGAAAATGAAGAACTGAAAAAGAAAAAACGCCATTCTTTGTGTCTCCGTGTTCCGTTCAGGGACTGAGCAGAAATAGCATGTGATGGTTTTTAAAGAGCAGGCGTTCGTTTGGGAGGTCTGAATGATTTATGGAGACACTAACAGCTGAGTTGTGTAACTGTGATCCAGTCTGAACAGGACTGGAGTGTCTCTGCTGCCTAACCGACTTCTTTATGATGTGTGATACAATAAGACGTGAGGTAATAAGACGTGAGGTACATAAGACGTGAGGTACAATAAGACGTGAGGTACAATAAGGATAAGACGTGAGGTACAATAAGACATGAGGTACAATAAACGTGAGAGGTACAATAAGATGTGAGGTACAACGTGAGATGAGGTACAATAAGACGTGAGGTACAACGTGAGATGAGGTACAATAAGACGTGAGGTACAACGTGAGATGAGGTACAATAAGACGTGAGGTACAACGTGAGATGAGGTACAATAAGACGTGAGGTACAATAAGACGTGAGGTACAACATGAGGATGAGGTACAATAAGACGTGAGGTACAACGTGAGATGAGGTACAATAAGACGTGAGGTACAACGTGAGATGAGGTACAATAAGACATGAGGTACAGACGTGAGTACAATGAGGTACAATGAGAGGTACGTGAGGTACAACGTAAGGTACAATAAGACGTGAGGTACAACGTGAGATGAGGTACAATAAGACGTGAGGTACAACGTGAGATGAGGTACAATAAGACGTGAGGTACAACTTGAGATGAGGTACAATAAGACATGAGGTACAATAAGACGTGAGGTACAATAAGACGTGAGGTACAACGAAACGTGTACAAGACGAGATATACATTTAGATATAGTCCGATACGTCGCGATACGATAGGACACGTTTCGGTGAGCTACACGTGATAAAATGTGTGCGTTGTCTCTTTAAGGACTTGTTGTCGTCGCTTTGAACCGGCGTGCGGTCGAGCGTCGGCCGATGTGGCGTCATGTGACCATTTATCACTGCCGTGTTTCCTTTAGACAAAAATCACTGCCCTCCAAACCTGTGAGCCACGCCGCCCTGCACACTCGTCTCCTGCTCCCTTTGCTTCCTTTGCTTCCTTTCCTTCTTCGGTCCCCCACCGAGTTTCCCACAAAAAGCCTCTTGACTTTTGTCTCAGTTTACAAAGATCAACCGGTCGACTTTGCGTTGTCCTGAGATACGCCGTCTACTCTCACTGCCTTTGTGATAATAGCGATAATGATGATAAGGTGTCAGCAGCAGAGGAGCTGGAAGGATGGAGCATCAACACGTTTTTTATTGTGTTGCGCAGGTTTTCAATTTATTTTCCTTTTTTTAAAATATGTTTATGGAAGTTCAAAATATATTGGAAAGGAACATATTCAAATTCAACCTTTTATTAGTTTATTATTAAGACATATTTCAAATTTTCCTGAACAAACTTTAGTTTTTGGTGTTTTTAAAGAAGAAGGAGGAAAATGTTTCTCCACATTTCAAACAAGAAATAAAAGATGTGGGATGAAGGATGAACTGTAAATAATGACTCCGAGAGGCCGAGCTAATTGAAAATAAAAATATAAAACTCATTGCAGAACAACAAACAACAAGGATGACGACCTTTTGCATGTGGACACGTTATATATAAACACGCTGCTGTTAGCCGCCGCCGCCATCTTGCAACACGTTAAAAGTGATGAGTCACACCGTTCTGCCTCCGAGGAAGTCTTCCAGTTTGAACCGACAGAAACGCTCGTTGTGTTTCTTCGGAACGTTAAATGTTTCTGAATGTTGTTTTTTCATGTTTGTGGAACCAAAACACTCGACGCGAATGTTTATTCAGAAAAAGCATCGCAGCCTTCAGGTCACGTCGGAAATTGTGTGTAAATGTCCGACATTCAAAAGATGCAAAGAACGGAGACCTATTAACACATTTGGGACTTTATAGCTGGAACAAATATGAAAAGAATGGATGGTAAAAGAAATACGATTAAAACAAAATAATTTTTATCAAGTTTGACAATAATGTTGTTATTTTAAAACCTGTATCACCAAAAAAGAAACTGCGTTAATAATCAAATAATTTTTAAGCATACAGAAAGTAAAATAATTGTATTATTATTGATTTGTTGTTACTTTAACGCGTCCATAAAGGTTTCTGCTTTGAATCTGTCGTCGTGTAATTTCTGATTGTCACCGCGGAGACGTTCACCTTTAAATATTGATTAACTGATCATGAGTTCAGGGCTCCGGACGTCGCCTGAAGGCAGCGCGAGGAAGCCGGCCGGTCGGCTCGCAGGTCTTTGACATCATAACTTCATAACTTAAATAAAGTGGTAATAACCGCACAAAGGCGCGTAATGATGATGTCACTATCGAGCGCCGGAGGCCCTCTGGTTGGCGGCCATGTTGGAACGTCGTTCTTTTGTTGATGTTTGCACTTTTTCTGAGACACATTCATATAATGCATCGTCATGTAGAAAACAGTCATCGCTATTACGAAGCAGGATGAAAAGTATCATTGGAAAATAAAAAAGAACAATATAAAAGATTCAGTGTCGGACTCATTTTTTATTCCTTTTGGATTCTATATATGATCCTCTGTGTGAACCAGTCTCAGTGCAGTCCTGATCCTTCAGGCCAAGGTCCCCCCAACTGATGGCGAGATGCAGCAGGGACCCCTTATTCTACGGAGTTTGGTCCTCCATCTTTGATTTTTGAGCTCTGCCCTCTTTAGACGTGAGCATGAATGGATCTGATTGGCTGTGACGTCGTATCAGCATGAATGGATCTGATTGGCTGTGACGTCGTATCAGCATGAATGGATCTGATTGGCTGTGACGTCGTATCAGTGTGAGAGGAGCTGTGAGTGAACCGGTGTCTGGCGAGACCAGGACCAGGACGGAGAGTCCCTAGTCAGTAAAATGACAGGTTTTTTAAAGGGAGTCTGGTGAGAAGAGTTACTACCACTTTAGTCCACAGGAGGCGCCAGAGTTACACAAAACAAAAGTTCATTTTAGTCCAAATTAGAAGTCCCTAAAATCAGAGTCTTCTTTCATTCATCTTCATAAAACGGAATGTTTAATTGTAGGTTGAATCCAGCAGAGAAGTGTTTCAACAATGGATGTTCATTGTTTCATTTAAAGTTATATTACCATTAAAGATTCAGATGGTTTGATATCGCTGCTCCTGCTCCGTTTGGAGAGATTTCCCTGCGTCGGGTAAAACAAACACGCTGGAGGTTTAATACGTCATCAAAGTTTTATGAACTTTTGAATTATTCAGCATTCAGACTTCGGCTTCCATCACTGTTATTAAAATTTTATTCAATAAAGTTTGGGTTTGTTTTAAAATAACATATGCTTTGAGTAAAAAAAGCTAAAAAGAATAAATATAAAAAGGAAAGTGTGAGAAATGTTTTTTGGTGACCTGGCATTTGCTGTCTCTCAGTCAGTTTCAAAATAAAATACACATTGAGGTTGTCATACCGGTGTCTTGTGCTTTCTTAAAAACTCTGTTTGTATTCAGACGGCCTCTTAGACGACTAATATAATATGTATCAGTACACTCAGCTTGGTGTATAAATACACTCCGCTCAGTGTACAAGTCGACTCTAAAGCTGGTTCCCACTTTCGGGGCCTTGAGAGCTTCCTCCATTTTTAATGAGGCAACAACAGACGCAAACAACCTCCGACATGGCGGCAACAAGGAGGAGGATCCATCTTTGTTCTTGTCGTCATGGAAACGTAACTTTGTTGGTTAGATCATGCTATGCTAGATCAGGATTGTTTTTACTGTTAAAATGCTTCAGGATTTTTACTGTGAAGCAGCTTTAAGACTTTTACTTTGAAGCCGTTTTAAGAATATTACTATGAAACAGCTTCAGGACTTTTACTGTGAAACAGCCTCTTTTACTTTAGAACAGTCTTAAGGCTTTAACTGTGAAAGCTTCTTTAATTACATAAAGATCTTAAACAACATTGTGACAGGAGCGTTTTCATGAATCTCTGATGATGTCACAACTTTAATATGTTTCTGGTCAATCAGGGGTTCCCAACGTGTGGTGCGGGGGCCCCTGCAGGCACGCAAGCGGCTCTAGGGATTCCTTGAGAGGAAAAATGCAACGCTGGTTTAACGGTGTAACTATTCATATTAAATATAATTGAATCTAGTTTGTGCAGCTAAAGTCAGCTACCAGCAAACTTTATTCATCAACATTCAAACTAATTCAGGGGAACATCTGAAGTTATCAGTCGTGAGAGACGGAGGATTCATTGAAGCTTTGTTGCAGTGTTTCAGGGCATTTTCACACCTGTAGTTTAATACGTAGGATTAATATGATACAAGTTGCCCCTTTGTTCGGTTTGTGTTCACACTGCAACATTTAACACATTTAAATCGAATGCAGCTATAAATAGGCTCACTGCATGAACCCAGGGGGATGTAACACCGGGTCCGTGGCTTAAAGAGAGAATCATTTAGCTTCACATGTTTTTACTTCTTTTGACGTATTAAAGATCTCTTTCATCCATAGTTCTCAGCTGACACTCTGAATGGAGGAAACATACATTCAATTTATTTCATAATAACCTGAAGTGATTGTGTCGAGGTATGATGTCATTAAAGCTTTGAGGATTGTCTTTGAAGAAGTCCTACTGTTAGTAGAGGAATATTAAACTGTATTTGCAGCCTGGCGCCACCAGGGGGAGACAGCAAATACGAAATAACATGTAACACGTGGCTGATAAATACATATTATCTTATATCACATGATACCACATTATACCCGCTCATTCTATTATGTTAGATGATAAATGATAATAAAATGATAATATTATATATATATATGCTATTTTGTATAACTATATATATATAGTTATAAAGAATAGAATATACAGTATGATGAACTATGTATCACATTAAATAATATTATATAATATTATTTAATGTGATACATAGTTCATCATACTGCATATTCTTTTATTTTTATTATTATTACTACAGTACATTGTATTTATATTTACATGCAGAACGTACTTTGTTATTCTTGCTCCTTTAAGTGTATTGCGATGCTGGTACTTTCCCTCTGCTCGTAAGGCAGTAGTTGTACTCTGTTAGTACTAGTACTAGTACTACGTGGAGAAGCATAAATATTTGCACATGATCTGATCGCTGCTTCGTCCTGTTGCGAAATCACAGATCGGTGTCGCAACGTGTCTGGAGGAGGAGCGTGTACCGGAATACGTCTACTTCCTCCATGTACTCTACTTGTACTCTACTTGTACTCTACTTGTACTCTACTTCTTCAATCAGCGTCTCTAATTAGTCTTAATTATAAGGGCTTCGTTATTCCGCGTCTCGGTCTGAGGCGCAGAGACATTTACCGGACAAACCGGGGACCTGCAGACTCACAGCGGGGACCGGGCCGCAGACACCGGGGGCCCGTCAATCACCGCCCGCGGAGCAGAGTCAGCGGCGGCGATCCGTCACACGGCACTCACGTACGGAGCCGGTGGCCGCCCGGGACCGGGACGCGCGGCTGAATGACGCCGACCGACCGGACTCACAGCGAACCCTCGTCGCGATGTAAGTGCCGCGCGCTGCCACGTGCGCGTCGCTCCGCGTCGGCGCGGCGATGGTTCCGATGTTGCGGTGGTGGAAGTGGATCGTGCGCTTTGACTCAGTTGATCGGAAGCTCGCCGGACGATGACGTCAGAGACCGTCCTCGCGCTCCTCCGCGCGCTTAAGAGGCTCCGGTTCTAATGTCGCGTCGCTGATATCGAGCCGCTCGCGCGGGTTCTGAGCGCAGACGCGCGCCGGCCTTCGTGTTGTGACGTCATCTGCGTTACGGCAAATACTTCCCTTTTAGTCCAATAATCCCGAGTCGGCGGTTCGACAGTTGACGTTCGGTCAGTCACGTGATACTCGGTGACTCGGTGTGTACGTGTGAGACATTCTGGACCAACAAGTCCTCAGGAAACGGCCCGCCCGGATAATCCGATTATTAAAACATCTGGACACTGCGGTTCACCTTCATCACCACCTTCATCATCATCATCATCATCTGGTTTCATCTGGTTTTTAAAAAGTTAATATAAGAGATATTCTGTTTTTATGTGGAAAATATGGTTAACGACTTGTTTTTTGATCTAAAGTTAAATTAGACATTTAAATTCAGTCATTATTCTCCGTCAGTTTATCACAAACAGCACAATGTGCATCTGGTACATGATGGTCCATGAAGAGTCAAACAGCCCATGCAGCAGGAGATGCTTTAGGGCGGGGCTTCACGCTGATTGACAGGTCTCGGTCCATGTTGGCGGGCGTCCTCTTCCTTAATGTCTTTGGATTAGACAATTAGACAATGTCTCATTAGCATATTTAAACATATCAATCCATAATCCTGTTAGCGTTTCATGTTATGATGAGAACCTGATGTTTCATCACTGATGATCGTGAGATACGTTATTGTTACTATTATAAACATAACTATTATACACATAACTATTATACACATAACTATTATACACATTACTATTATACACATTATTAATATACACATTACTATTATACACATTCTTCTTGTTATTATTACACTTATTATTATTGTTATAGACAAATAAGAGAACATTTTGATGCTTTTTGATCAGTTTGTTTGTGGAACAAGAACAGAGAAGATAAAACATCTCTGTCTCTCTGCAGGTCTTCCTTCATCTCCTCCCCCCCCCTCCTCCTCCTCCCTCTCCTCCTAGTGGGCGGGACTAAGCCGGCTGTCAGTCAGTCCAGTGACTCGTCAGGTGAGTGGCAGCTGTGCGCTCGTTATAGAACCCAATAGAATCAGTCCAGTGCAGTGTGTGTGTGTGTGTGTGTGTGTGTGTGTGTGTGTGTGTGTGTGTGTGTGTGTGTGTGTGTGTGTGTGTGTGTGTGTGTGTGTGTGTGTGTGTGGGGTTGGGGGAGGGCGTCCTTGCTGAATTCATTTACTCTGATCGACATCATTTGCTGGGTTTGTGTTAGTTATTAAATGAAGTTGTTAGTGAGACGCGTTGTTAGTGAGACAGGTTGTTAGTGAGACAGGTTGTTAGTGAGACGCGTTGTTAGTGAGACAGGTTGTTAGTGAGACGCGTTGTTAGTGAGACGCGTTGTTAGTGAGACAGGTTGTTAGTGAGACGCGTTGTTAGTGAGACAGGTTGTTAGTGAGACAGGTTGTTAGTGAGACGCCTTGTTAGTGAGACGCGTTGTTAGTGAGACAGGTTGTTAGTGAGACAGGTTGTTAGTGAGACGCCTTGTTAGTGAGACGCGTTGTTAGTGAGACACGTTGTTAGTGAGACAGGTTGTTAGTGAGACGCCTTGTTAGTGAGACGCGTTGTTAGTGAGACGCGTTGTTAGTGAGACAGGTTGTTGGTGAGACAGGTTGTTCTTATACTCGGAGGTCGTAGGACTGGGAGCACGTAAGAGGCATCAATAAGGTCCCAGAGACTCTGAGGGGAACCAGAGCGTGTTAATCATCACTATTATCGTCAGGTATTGATCCTGGTCTCCGTCCCCGTCCATCAGCCCGTCTCTGCTTCCATTAGTCGAAGACATTCGTCAAACGAAATGAGTTTTTGCTGATTCAGATGATCAATGTGTTTTTCTGGTGGTCGTCATTTACACAAGTAGACTCCTTATAAAAACTACACTACCCATGAGCCTCAGTCCTCAATGACCCTCACAATAAAGTATCGCTCTAAATAAATATACACTTAAATGTCTCAGCATATGAATAGTTTTTAAAGGGCCAGTCCGTCTCCGAGGGGACACACGAGGGTCATGTGGTCCAGGATCTGTTTTGTGTCAATCATTGGGCAAAGTGATGTCCTGAATCCGTCTTCTCCCCAGTGCCCATGTGTTACGACTGGGGGGAGGCCAGTGAGGGAGGGGTCTCGGTCCTGGAGGGGGAGGCCGGCTGGCTGTTCTGTCCTCTCTTCTCTCACCCCTCCGTCTACAACTACACCTCTACCCGGAAAGACAGACTGAAACCGGTATGGTACCACCTCCCCGAGGGCCACGACGTGGAGCAGCCGGTCCAGTACAGGTACAACGGGGGGGCTCTGCAGACAGGAAGTGGACGTAGTCGTCAAGGTGACGTCACTCGTTAGTTGCCATCTTTTAATCAACCAGTGAACAGGAAGTGACTGAGAATAACTTATACGTCCCTGGTAGAGACCTGTCAATCACAGTAAGTCCCTCCCTAGAGCGTCCCCTGCTTTATGGTCTATTATGGAGCGTTTCCACCGAGCGGTACGGGTCGGGTCTGTTAACCATGATTTGGTGACCGGTATTCCGGTGGAAACGCGCCATTAGAGCCCTGTCAATCAGAGTGTAGCCCCGCCCTAAATCATGCTGTGTTGAAGAAGACTAAAGACTGAGACCATAAACTCATGTTTACAATGTTTGCTGAGGGAACAAAACGCTTGGTGACGGTTGGGAAATGTGTCACGTGGGTTAGAAGTAGTCAGGGGAGAATCCCCTCAGTTTGTACTCTTTCTGTGTGCGGCCGGGTACCAAATGACCCGGTAGGTGGGGACCTCGGTTCTATGGGACCAGAGGAGACGCCGCTTGCTGCTCAGTACAGAGTTTGCAGGAAGTTAGTCTCCTGGTTAGAACCTGAGGGACCAGATGTCTTTTGGTTTTGTGGGAGACGAGTGGCTCCATCGGTTGGGGGGGCCGGGGGTTCTAATGCAGTTCTAATTGGATCTTATTTCAAGCAGCCTGCGGGTCAGCAGAGACCGAGAGCACCTGTTGCTGCTGCCGGCGGCCGCTGCCGACACGGGGCAGTACATCTGCATGCTGAGGTAGGTGCTTCCACTTCCTGTCATGGTCACATGCATGGTCAGCCTTTGTAGATCGGGTCAAATGGTCACCATAGTGGAGAACATGGAGGCTTCCTCCCTCTGCTGGTTTACTGCGGACACATGGGCCGGGCAGATCCACTTTGACTTTATGAAAGTAAACACACATGATGCAGAAGTGTTAAACTGACAGACGCCATAAACACAGGACACGTAGGGCCGTGCGTTATGCACAAAAGTCCATTTCATGGTGTGTAGAAAGATTCTGACGCTGTCCCGGTATGTGGAAGTGTGTTGCTTTGTCAAGTACACATAATGCATTACATTACATCCAAACTTACGTTGCATTTTTAACTTTCAGACTTTGCAATAAATCGTTTTCTGATCTAATGTTACTCTCCAAGCAGACTGAGCTCCTCTGGTGGGAACAAGTTGTGTTGGAGCATCTCTGGTCTCTCCTTGTTCCTCTTGTGTCGCTCTTTTGCGTATTTTCATGTAGCAACAGAGTTACTTCTTGTTGTGAGCTTTACCCAGCATGCAGTTCGTCGGGGTCCATCCATCCCTCTGCAAACCACTTACCCTGCACAGGGTCGGGGGTGTTTGGGGTGTTTGTGGCTGCTTCGGGTGATAGACGGGCTTCACCCTGGACTACACAGAGACACACAACCATTCACACTCCTACGGCAATTTAGAGTCACCAATCAACCCAGTGGGTTATTCATTGTTATAACGTTATAATAATGATACGTGAGATCTTATCCCGTTGGATCCGGTGTGCTCTGCAGCCCCTGCTGGTGGAGGCTGGAACTCCGCCTCTTTCAGGAAGTGCGTCACAGCAGCTAAATGTCATCAGAGATGCAATCGGACCTTCATTCTGATGAAGATCTATGCAGGATGTTTGTGACTCATGAAGAAGAAGAACGGAACTCCCACGAAGGCTTTTATTTGTGTAGCAGAAGAAGAGCTCTGTGTGTGGATTGAGTAATCATGTGACCCGGTTAGATTTTCCTGTGTGGTCACTTCCTGTTTCCTTTCTGCTTTTTGTGCTTTTTAAAGTTGACAGACGTTGTCTTTTTTGTCTCCGTAGCAACCAGACGTTCTGCATTAAGATCGCCATACGCCTGAAGGTGCTGCGCCCGGATGAGGTTGTCCGCGACGAAAACTGCGATCCTCCAGTAGCCGTGGCGCCCAGTCAGAAGATCATCCCCTTTCAGACAGGGGGGCTGCTGGACTGTCCGGACGTTGAGGAGGCCCGCAAGATGGCGACCGGAAACACAACGGTCACATGGACCCACGTGAGGCCATCCCGTGTCTCCCTGTCTGTCTCTGTCCTGTCTCTGTCCTGTCTGACGCGTCTCCCTGTCTCTTCCTCAGAAGTGCACAAGCCCATCCAACATCCATCGGCAGCAGAGAGGAGCCAGTCTTCAGATCCACGTCATGCTGAATACTTACCAGGGGCCGTACTTCTGTAGCGTCAACTACGAGAGGGAGGGGCTAAAGCTGCAGTTCACCCGCAGCGTCATCGTGAGCGCCGTGTGTGAGTACTACTAGTGCTACTGGCTTTGCTACAATGAGTACTGCTACTGCTACTACCATTTCTACTACTTAAAGTACACAGAAAAACTCCCCAAACAGTGGAAACCCTTCCATGGGGAAAAAGGGAGGAAACCTCAGTGAGAAGGTCAGAGGATCCGTCTCTTGATGGACAGACTACAATGACGTCATGAGTACAGAATGAACAACGTAGAAGATTAGCGATAGCGTCCAGCGCCACGCTCAAAGAGCCTGTAGCAGCATCGACAAAATGATCGACCTGGGACGGACTGAGGTTCTCACAGGAGTCTTCTTGTATCCTGAGGCAGGGCACTGAACTTAAATGAGGCTACAGACGTATCCGATAAGGATCAACTATAGAAAGTAGTACTACTACTACTGCTACCACCACTAGTACTGCTACTATACAAACTTCAACCAGTGTAACTTTGTTTTTTTTCTCAGTTCCAGATTTTCTTCCTAAACTTCCCAGCATTCACCACCCGGGAAAAGACCAGATCACCACCGTCAAACGGAGTAAGTGGACCAGTGTCCTCCATCAGGGGGACACCCAACTGTGTCCTATCCAAGACCTCTGCTGAGTCACTGAGAAGAATTAGTTTGTTCTAGATCAAAGCATCACATATGTAGTCTATTATGACATGATCATACATGTAGTTTATTATATGAGGATCATACATGTATGATCATTTCGTAATGACTCCAATGGTCCCACGTTGCACTGCAGTCAGTCTACTGCTGGTTATTGATTATTGTTTATGATCGTCCCCTCAGACTCGGATGCCCGTCTGGTGTGCACGGCCCTGTTCCCGTACCTCAACTCCTCCTGGGACATCTGGTGGACGGTGGACGGGAAGAGGCTGGACAAACTGTTCGACCAGCATCGGTTCTCCAGGACCAGCAGGTGGAGAGAGGAGCTCATACACTACACAGGTGGTGGAGGGAAAGCAGCCCAGCAGGCTTATTGGTAATGAGTGGATCTGATGGGTGCAGAACGCTGAAGAACGAGCACGGGGACCGGACAGTGGAGAGCGTGCTGCTGGTCCAGGACTTCCAGTCCCAGGACCTGAAGCGGGAGTTCAACTGCTCTGTGAGGAACGCTCGGGGGTTCGAGACCCGCAGGGCCCAGCTGGAGGAGGAGGGTGAGCGGTTTGTCTTTCCAGACGTTCTCCTTGAAGCCAGAAGAGGATCTGTAAGCTGATGTTAACCATGTGTTGACCTCAGTGTCGCTGCCCTCCCTGGAGCTGGGCTGTGGCCTCGGGGCGACGCTGCTCCTCATGCTGCTCCTCTTCCTCCTCTACCACGTCTTCTGGCTGGGAGCTGCTGCTGCTCTACCGCTCCTGGTTCGGCACCGACGAGAGACACACAGGTGAGACACGCACACAGGTGAGACACACACAGGTGAGACACACACACAGGTGAGACACACACAGGTGAGACACGCACAGGTGAGACACGCACAGGTGAGACACGCACACAGGTGAGACACGCAACAGATGAGACACGCACACAGGTGAGACACACACACAGGTGAGACCCCCCACCACGCTGAAAGGTTCTCATGTGGACGATCGATTATGATGCAAAAGAAATTATCAAAACACAATGTGTCTTTTTCTAGAAAATACTTACGACCAAAAGTCAAAATAATAACTGATGTTTGTTCACATAGCGACTTCCTGTAGTGGAGATAAAATCACATGAGGGACTTTTTAAACATTCTGAAAAAACAACCTGCACTGGTGTGTGTGTGTGTGTGTGTGTGTGTGTGTGTGTGTGTGTGTGTGTGTGTGTGTGTGTGTGTGTGTAGACGATAAGGAGTACGATGTGTACATCTCCTATGCGAGGAACAGCGAGGAGGAGCACTTCGTTCTCTTCACCCTTCGAGGCGTCCTGGAGAACGAGCTGGGATTCTCCGTCTGCATCTTCGACAGAGACAGTCTGCCGGGGGGGAGTGAGTACAGCCGCCGATAGTACTGCAGTACAAGTACACCGGGATACCGCGGTACTATGGAGACTTGGGCTACTGCTAGTGGTCCGTTGTCTGGTACTGGCAGTATTGCCACTTCTGACGATACTCATTCTACTACTACGACCACTCAGGAATCAGGAAACATTTATTGCCAAAATATGTCAAACACACAATGAATTTGTCTTGGCAGTTGGTGCGTGACAGTAGACAACAGTAGACAACAAGACAGCAGTACACAAGTAATAAATATAAAATGAAATGCTAATGCAATGGGTAGAATAAGGCTATAGGTTAGTATAAGACAAGAGAATAAAGTTAAAAATTTAAATAACTTTAACATACTACTGGTAGTAACACTATACTATTTCTACTCAGTGGCCCCTACTTTACTACTTACTTACTTCCTGTTAAATATTTAGGATTTATTCATTTATTAACATTCATTTATTTATTTATTCTGAATATTGTTTTTTATATATATATAAAACAATATTCAAAATATGGTATAACTACCCATATTGTAACTATTATAAATATCATATAATAAATATATTATATTAAAGGATAAATATATTCATATAAAGTAGAACATGTATGTATGTATATATATGAGGTGCACCTATGAACATGAGGTTCTCTTAGACCTGCCGCTTTGGGATCGAGCCCCACAAGCAGAGAGGACGTGCAGGAAAAGCATATGTTCTGTGCAGATATCTTAATTTACAAATATTCCCGGGTATATAATAAATGTTTCAAAAACACAAATAGATATGTATTGACTATTTCTAAAAAAATATGTACTACTGTCACTACCACCACTGCTACTACTATTAGGTTTCCTGCTACTAGTATTACAACTGCTAATACTTATTCTAATACTACTCCCAAATAAAAGCTTAGTCTGGGGAAATAAACAGTCCCTGGTAAACTTCCTGGTACCACCTCCTGGTACCCCTCCTGGTATCACCTCCTGGTACCACCTCCTGGTACCGCCTCCTGGTACCACCTCCTGGTACCACCTCCTGGTATCACCTCCTGGTACCGCCTCCTGGTACCGCCTCCTGGTACCGCCTCCTGGTACTGCTCAACTGTCCTGTGATTGACGCTCCTCTTTGCCTGCAGCCATCACAGACGAGACTCTGAGCTTCGTGGCTCGCAGCCGGCGCCTCCTGGTGGTGGTCAGCCCCGGCTACGCCTCCCGGGGCTCCCAGGCCCTGCTGGAGCTACAGGCCGGCATCGATGGCATGGCGCTGGGCGGGCACCTGCGGGTCATCCTAGTCCAGTACAAGCCAATCCAGCGCCAATGCTGGGTCCGGGAGCTGAGGAGGGCCCGCGTGGCCCTGGTGCTGGTCCGTTGGCAGGGGGACAAGTCCAGGGAGCTAACGTCCCGCTTTTGGAAGCGGCTGAGGGTGGAGTTACCCCTGAGGAGGGTCAGCAGTGGCAGGGAGGTGGAGGTGGGAGGGAAAGAGCTGATGAGGCTGCACAGTCAGAACAGCACCAACTCCCAAACGGGCCTTATCAGCAACACCGTCAAAGACCCGCAGAAGGTCCTCAACTCAGCGGCGTAGTCATGGCGATCGCCTGTCCGACTTATCACGATTTATTACAATTTACCGCAACTTATCACGCCTCATTACAGCTCATTAACACTTATTACGTCTTTAAAAAATGTGAAATGTCGCAACTTGTCACTACATTTCACAGCGTATTACAGAACCAGCACAGTGTTTTATTCAGAAAGGGTCATCGGATGACCAAGACAAGAATAACCACCGTTTGTTTTCCATAAACCTCAGTGTTGGTCCATTGTAACACTCAGCTGCCACAATGTTTGACCCCCTGATGTGCTGTAACTTGTCACATCGTACTCAGATAAAATGCATTTACAGTAAAAACGTATCTGAACTTTTGGTATTTCTGTTCTATTTTTGGTCACTTTTTTTCAGTATCCGTGCTAAAAAGTACAAATACAGTATACTTGTGCACTTATATATTTGTCTTCAAAATGAAGCTGTCCTATAGTGTTGTCACGAGAGAAAGGTTCTGCGCTTTGTCATGATTCTTCTTTTGTGTTTTTACAGTATTTCATTTAATAAAGGAGTTTTTCATCTAATCATCATTTGTCATCATCTTCATTTAATTTCATAGTTTATTTCCTTTATTATTTTCTCTGCACGAGATTATTTTCATATGTTATAAACTTGTCCGTTTAAAGAAATGTATATACAAGTGTTACATAATGCTCAGACTAACATGCTATTATTTGGCGCCACGTAGCTTCACAAGCTTGTTCCATTGCAGACACCTGAGAGCTATTACACGAAACCAGGATTAGGGATGAAGTCGGGATATTCACGTTATCCAGCAGGTTGAATTAAACCGAGTAACCATGGGGATTTATTCTTTACAGCTAGCCTGTAAAGAGGTCAAACATCTGGTTCTAGTTGCGTCATTCAAACACTCCCGTCCTTACAGAGCGTTGGAGCCGGTACTCGTGGTTCTATGTTCAGGTCGTGGTGGCGCAGCGGGTAGAGCGGCTTTGATGGGAACCACAAGGTTGGTGGTTTGAGCAAGTCACCTGACCCCTAATGGCTCCCTGGGCAAGACACGCCGTGGGTTTAAAGTGTGATGTAAGTCGCTAAGTTCTTCTAAGAACTCGCGCATGCGCGTTACAGATGTGAGCAGAGTTACGTGTTTACAAGTAATATTTCAGTTACCCGCATTATTATGTCTTAAAAGCTTCTTTTTAAAAACACGCAGTCCGTAGTTTCATATTTATGACATTTTAAGTGAAATATTAAACATGTTGAAATGTCGTCTTCACGTAGACTAAATTTTGCCAACCAGTATTATTATTATTATGAAAATCTTAATGTTAATATCGTCTCTTTCAACCTTACGTTACAACACGACACGTTATCAACAAATTGACGTTTTTTGGCACGTTGATGTTGATGAAATGAGTTCTTAGACGTTCAGACCTCATTTCGACCCGATTTCAACCAGATTTCAACTTTAAAATGACGTCTTGTGCTCACTGGGTGAACGTATCCCAGCTGTGTGCACCTGGATTGACTTAGCTCCCCCTTCTCATCCCGGCTCAGCCGATTAAGATCAAACTAAGTCACTGTTCACTTATCCTGGATTTCTTTATTCTACTTTTGTGCAAAAAGAGGAGGTTTCCATATTTTAGGCAATGACCCTCACTGACTAAACTAAACAAAGATGCAATGGAACTTTGTCAAAGTACCTCTTCAATATTTAGGTATCTGTCATCTCTGATTGGCTCTTCCTCGTCACATGACTCTGACATCACTTTTAAGCTTAGTAAGTAAACAAAACAACACAGGATCGAACTTCAAATGAAGTTTATTTACACTTCAGCATCCTTTTTCTTACTCCGAATGCTGACAGAGTAGTAGTTTTAGTGGTAGTTTTAGTATTTGCAGTATTAGTTCTATATAGTAGCATTACTACATCCTTTGTAGTATTTGTAGCCGTGGTAGAAAGCACATTCCACACCTGAAAACAAAGAG